AATCTTAACGCCTGTTTCACACTGCAAGCGTGAGCAGCGTGTGAGCGTAACTACATCGTCACTGCAGCTGCAGATGTAGAACACTGGAAGCGTTTGTACAGCATCACAGCAGCGGCTCCAAAGCTACATATTTCTTTACAAAGACAACTATAAATTTGTTTTTAGAATTTAGTCAGTTATAAACGTGAAAGTTTTAAAGTCTTGAAAGATTCGCATGTAAGTGGTAAACAACAAAAACAGCTTTGATCATGTTGTTTCATTCATTCTTCGATATAGAATGTGTTGTTTATAATGTTTTTGTTGTTGTTTGTTGTTTGTTGTTGTTGTTGCTTTTATATAATACACCATACTTTAACCCAAACTGAATAATTAAAAACAAGTTTAAATGAGAAAAACTTCTATACATATTTTTGATTCTTCATTTTCTTTTCTGACATACTCCAGTTCTGGTTAAAACACACTAGACATGCTTATTTTGTACATTTTTAGCACTTTTTGTGTGAAATCATTTATTTTGTCCATCAAAAGTGTGCTGTCACATTAATTGAGTGTGAGCAGTGCAGCAAAAATAGACTCAAGGCCGAGACCAGTGCAGCTCACGCGACACTCCTGCTCCTGTGTGAATGCACTCATTTGTTATCATGCACGCTGAAAAAAAATATGCGCTGCTCATGCTTGCGGTGTGAAAACGGCCTTATGTTCACTTTTACATCCAGCTACAAAACACCTGCATTGCTAACGAGACATTGTTGTCGCTACAGCTGCTTGAGCGCGGAGAAATTTGTGGACAGCGTACAACTGGCTGAAGGCAGAGATATGCTAATACGGGACAGTCCGTCAGCGGTCGTGGGTGGGGCCTTAGCAATATGATGTCATACTGCTTTGAAAATCAAAACAGCTTGATAATTGAGGCTGTTTGTGTTTTTTGGGAATTGAAAAAAAAGGAGTGAATGGATTTTTATCATTGTAGGGTGGTTGTGTCCACACTGCTGAGACAAAATGTATATGCAAATACCATGTAAAAGTGAATTTCGCATCCGATGTCCCCTTTAAGTGATGGAGACAGCAGCAGGTTTATTGGCTGCTGTGACTTTAAAGGGGTCCTATTATGCTCTTTTACAAAGTCTTGATTTTGTTTTGGGGGTGTACTAGAACAGGCTCTCATACTAAGTTTTTCGAAAAACACATTATTTTTCACATATTTTACATTATTACAACACCTCTCTCTCCCCAGTCTGGCATGAACG